GCGGGGGCGCCGTCGCCGGCACGGCCCCTGCCGTGGTCTGGAGAGAGGCCAGGCGTGCGCTCGTCGGGCACAGGTCTGAGCTGGGCTTATTTGAGCAGGGCGCAGACCCCTGAGTGTTTTGGCTCTCTGGGACTTGCCCAAGGCAGCGCGTCATCGCAACTGGATCCTTTCTGCCTCTCCGTTCCCCTCCCCGGACCGCTGACACACTGCAGAGCTCAGCAGCTTCTGAGCGTCTTGTGGGATGCCTCTGCCAGCGGGTTTGACATCCACCTCCGAATCAAATTAGAATCAAACAATACAGCTAACGTGCTCGTCATCTTCGCATTTTCCCCCCCTCCCAGCAACTCAGGCATTAAGCACTAATAAATTGTAAAGCAACTCAGAGAAAAATATAAATTGATTTCTTCCTCAGCAGTAGACATTTCTTTGACTTATTTTTCCCCTCGCTTATCTGTTAGACCCTCCGTTTCCTTTTTTGACTGTTGTTTCCAGTATTGAACAGCAATGCAGGCAATTTCAACATGGCAATGCAGCATCGTAACTTAAATTCCTCTTTTCTTTCTCTTGCCCCTCTCGTTGTGAAGAAGATTGTTTAAAATTGCTGCGCTTTAGAGTAGTGAGGCCAAGTGAGCTGAGAAGCGTCAAGGGGTGGTTTCTGCTGAGGTTCTAGCGCTGTGTGGCAAACTGACTTTTTGGAAAGGCATTGCTGAAAGCTTTGGTTTCTCTGTTTAGAAATGACCTTTCTGACGTGACGGTAAGTTTTCTGAAGGCAGACAGTCTCACCGTGGAGAGCGTGCCTGGTTCTGCAGCGTCCTGGCTGTGTGTGTTTTAGGTATCACTTGAACTGGCAGGAGTTTGAATGAAATGTTGCTGCTTTTTCTTCTCAGTGGACATGTTTGGATTCAGCTGCTCTTTGGGGTTTAGGTATAATCAGATTCCTGTCTTGGTTTTAACAGACCTTTAATTTGGCGCTTTATTTCCAGTATGTTTGTTCTAACCATTTTTTGTTTTCTTTTCTGTTTGCTTTGCATTTGTGTGCTCACCCGCTGGTTTCCCCGTCCACGATGGAAGCGGTTCCTCGGACCAGTGCCACCCAGTGCAGCTCGGTGCCGGAGCCGCGCTACGGCCGGCGGCTGGGCAGCGACTTCGCGGTCGGGGC